ATTTTTTCGCATATTAATTCTTGACTCTGTTTTGACACCGGGCACAGGCGGGTGAGGGAAGAGAAGGAGTGAGGGAGATGCTTCGAAAGTCTACTGTTACTCAAAACTAGTTTACACACAAGTCACCGTCCCTACACCGTCCTTCTCCGGTTATGGAACATACGGCGGAGATGGCCTAAATCGACAGTCGAGCCCTGTCTCCCCGTGGGCACTGAAGTACCTAGCACTCTCTTATTGCTCGCCCTCCCCCCCCTCTCCCCTGATGCTCAGGATTAAAACAACCGGCCAATTTAAGCGAGACTGTGAGTTCCAGAAAGAAATTAGGAAGAAGGAAATGCCATCGCTGGGACAAGACGCCTGACCCTTAAAAATCCGTCGCGCGAATCCATTATTAGAGACAACAGCAGCAGAAGCCCGTAATTCATGCACTGGGAGTTGCTGTCGCTATGCCTCTGCATATCTATGACAACTAACGGCTCCCTTCTACTGAGGATAGTTGCTCGCTTTGAGTGTTAATTGTTTGATGGCCGGTGTGCGGGTCGTGACCTGTAATGTAACAATGGTGTTGAGCTAAGGATTTGTTAATAAAAAAATGCCATTATCACAGCGACTTAATACCCTTGAATTTCGTAATATGGGACTGGTGGAGCATAACAGGGTACAGTGCAGAATACTTAAACAATTTTGCAAACAAAAGCAGGAACTACTAGGTAATATTACTATAATTAACTTATATGTATAAAGAACAAGTGCGCGGTAATAGAACAAATAAGAAAAAGCAATTTGCAACAAGTCGGATTTGAATTGAACTCGCAGTTTCAAAAAATCGAACGCGAAAGAAATACGACCTCGGTCAACTTTGTAGAACGCTAATTGGATCCGCAAATTCGAATCTCATTTTTCAGCCGGAGAACGGGCACCTTAATTCTAAAAAAAAACACTTTATAAACCGCTGTAGGAAATTAACATTTGCTAGACGTTATACCGTACTTCCGACATAGATACTACCTAAGAGCCCAGACATGTGTTTCGCCGGTGTTTCTGCTGCTGTGTGATACGGCAATGAGGGGTTCGGCTCCTCAGCGGGTCCCCCAGCGTTCCCCTATGCGGTAATACTGTGAATATAAAATGTAGTCCAATCTCACTGAACCATTACAAAAAAATATGTTTTTGTTTCTGTATGTTTCTGTCTTTTTGGCACTAAAGACTCCCGCGAGGGGTGCAATGCAGTTTGCGGATGGACTAAGTCGAACGCAGCTGAGTAACACAGCCGACGCGAAAGTAATAAAACAAAACATGCTTACTACCTGAAAATAAGTAGGCAGTCATGCAAAATGAACAAGAGGTCGATGGTGGCATTAACGCATCCTTACCAAAAAGTAGACCTAAGGCATTTCTGTCACCCTCCTGCATGATCTGAAACTACGCCATGTTTGTAGGGTGCTTCGATTTTCTCACACCTTCACAGCTCTAAAAGAGAACTCCTAGAGGAGGAATATTGTGCCTACACAAACTTTTACGGAGACTTCACTTAGGCATCCTAACCACCTGGAGTTACTGCAAAGAGCAACCATTTTTTCGTGTCTTTGTCTGTTTATCAACAGTTAGGAGTTGTTTGCGTCAAATTTGCAGTTGACGCAACTCTGTGACCTCGCTCATCCCAAACGCTACATGATGCGCGAATGAATTAACGCTTTCTAGAACAGCTCACCGGTCGCAAATGCACCCGCTCTTCATGCAGGAGTTTCAGTGACATTCTCATATGCCAATTTCCTATGAAATATATACTTATATACCTACTATACGTAATTTAGTAGGCGTAATTATGCTTATTACTGAACTCAAAAACTCGGAAATCCTCAGCTTCCTGTGGGTACTTTTAGTTTAGTTTATTGGTTTGTATTTAGTTATAGTTTTAATAACCTTAATTTTTAATTCAATTTAGTTTTTAAGGAACATGCGGTTCCTTTTCGGCTTATAGTACTACAATGTCGTCCCAAATGCAAAGAAAGCTACCGTGCGTTTAACAAATGGAGGAAAATCTTATTTTTCATGGTTTTATTTTATTCCCTAAATTTCGATGTACAGTCGATATTGGTTTGTAGCCTCCTTGCAAGTACTTTTGCACAGATCTTGTGTCCTATTGGTTGTACATATCACTTTAATTATCGTGCACAAATTTTTGGTTATTTAAATAATTATTTCCTATTATTTTCTGTTTTTATACGCTAAACATTTAGATTTGTTCTTTTCTTTCCTGTGATATGACCCAACCATAAATTTTTGGTTGTTTAAATAATTGTTTTCTATAACTTTCTGCTTTTATATGCTTAACCTCCAAATTTGTTTTTTTTTCTTCGTGTAAGATAACCCAACCATAAAAAACCCCTATTAACACCGCTACTGTATGACACAATGCTCAGGCTAGCGATATCTAAGTACATCTGCATATGAAAATGTCGCAGCAACTGTGTGGTCTCGTTCATCCTTAACGCTACATGATGCGGGGAATTACTTAAATCTGTATAGAACAGCTCACCGATCACCCTTCTCATGTAGACGTGATGGATAACCCGGAACGTGTTCAATGTGTGTGAGGGGGAGGAGTAGTGTAATACTGCATGGGCTACTTTGAAAGCATTCTAGTGCTTTATTTGAGGGCCCATGAAATTTTCTTCTTTCTTCTTGTCGTCGCCTTTTCTCAATTTCCCGACTTCGTATCTTTTTGCAAAACAAAGTAAACGTGTTTACAGCTAGCAGGCATTCCCATAGTCATTTACCCCGCATTCACGCCGCTCCTACTATGTGACCTCGTTCATCCCAAAAGGCCATACAGTCCCGTAAACATTGTAGCTGAATAAGGGCGTGCCCGGATGTATCCTTTTCAAATGCCTGGGCCAATTTAGAGGGGGGGGGGCGATGTTATCAGGCGCAAGTAGAACACCAGTAGGTCTTGATCATAATGACATCATGTGGTATCATTTGGTACGCCACAGACACCCTGGTGCTGCACCAGCTAGTTCAGACGACTGGGCTGCCAGAGGGCACTGCGAAGTTTGAATAGTTGGTCTGTGCACCTGCGCCGAGCTCTCCTTCTTTCCAATTCGTTTGGGTTTTGTCTCCGCACCGCGCACATTTTGGACTCGCCTCATGATGGCGATGCACAGACTCGTAGATAGCACACCTATGTGCGTATCACGTCTTGAAAAAGGGCCACCACCACGCCGCATCATCCATAACGATTCCATCTCCCTGTGGAGTGCGTGTACTCTACCATTGACAGAGGGCTTATTAGTTCCAGTAAGAGGGCCGTCTTCCCTGGACGCCCTGTTGCTGTGACACCATCGCAGGCATATCCCATGCCATCCGAGAAAAACGACTGAGGTGGTTTGAACACGAGTTCAGTGTTACTGCCCTCGATCCGACACCGTTACCCAGTTGGAGACAGCAGAGGGAGGGAGTCAAATAAAAACCTGGCTTGACTCAGTCCTCCGTCAAGACATGGAAGCGCTTCTTGGGGCTTGGGCCTCAGGCGTTAGCAAAGAGAATGGATTGAACTGTCCTCCTGGTGTGCTGCCGCAACACGGATCATCGCGCGTGGATAAGTAGGGTGCGGGGCATGATCGACGCGAGGAGACTACTCTGGACGCGGATGGCCGAGCACGCAACGGCGGTTCACTCAACAGGACCTGACCATATTTTCAAGTTTAACGGATGCTCGTGCGTGGAGAAGTACTCTCCGAGGCATAATCGAGACCGGCTAGATATCAGTCATAATCGTAGCTGTAACAAGGACCAGGAGCAGCGAGAGCACACTTGACTTCACATAGCAGCGCCGCCATGATGACATCATCAACTTAAGAATCCTGCATTTTTACTCTGCTCCTACGCCTGCATGCGCCCCCACAAAATTGTGCTCCCCGGGTGGCAGAAAATGTCCACCGCCTGCTGAAGCCGCTGGTGCCACTTTAGGTGTTCTAAACACACTAGGGATTCCGCATCAACCGCCGTAGTGCCCTGTGTCTGATCTAGCACATTGCTCTTCTTGAAAGAGAACAGCCTCTTAAGCCGCATCAGTGCTCCTTGCGGCAGAGGTTAAATCAAAACGCCTTTTTAGCCTGTTGTTTTTCTTCCCCGCCCCCACAACCTCTTCTGATGATAACCTCTGTGCCCTCTGTGCAGGTCTTCAGGGCGGAATGGGTGCCGCGAGCGCTATGGCTTCCGGTACCGGCTCTCCCAACTT